TAAAAGCTCATTGTCTAAAACTTACGAAACACAGACGTATTCAGAAAGAGTACAGAGGTCGCCGCCAGAACAAAAGCAGTTTCATTGCCAGTCTGACATCTTATCACCGCTGAACAATTAATAGGTGTGAATATTTTTAGGCATGTTGTCGAAACAAAGAATAGGATTAGGAACAATGCCGTTTTGGAACAGCTGGTTGAAACAATGAAGTCAGTCACGGTCTTGTTGCATTGGGGGTGCGGTTAGTAATAGGTACTTTTCAAGTTTTCAATTTTTGTTAAGAACTCTTTAACCCCGAAGCCGGAATTGGGGGTGCGGTTACTATTACGTATGCGGTTTATATTAGGACTTTAACGGGTACAGCCAAAACAAAGTCATCTTGGACATTCAGTTGTGAGACGCGACAAACTAAATGCTACCAGTGATAGATTTCGTGAATAAAAGAACAAAATAAACGCAATCAAAGGCGCCGACCACACGCGTTAAATAAATAGAACGCGTTGGGAATCGCACCTGCATCTCGACGACGTCTCCAGTCATGAGCAGGTTTTGCTGCGTCTTGGAAAAATTGAAAGTTAAAAAGGAATCAGTGTCGGAGACCATTGACAATGTTTGCATGAAAAATCCCACACGAAAGTTTGTTTTTTGAGGGGGTATCTTTAGGAATGTTACAAACACTATGGTACCTGAATCCCGATTAATTCATAAATATGAATCTGTAAGGGTCAATTTCGGGTAGAGTTGACTTTTCAGAACTAAGAACCTCAGAACTCAGAGCCTGGAGTGCGCCCTCAGACGAAGAAATTGGGGTTAATGAATACATTTTTTTTTTATTATTATATTTTGTTGTTCTTGTTGTTTTGATATTCAATTAATTATTTTGATCACAGCAAAAAATTAAAGGTATCTGGGGAAACATCCAACAATTTGGTTGACTCGTCTTGTCAGACATCGAATCCCAGTGCGCCCTCAAACGATAGAGGTTTTTCTTAGAACTGCGATTTTCTGCATTCTCCTTCCCAGAGCTCCTTGCGGTTAGATCACTGAAAGTATATATTCGTAGTAGAACTCTGCCTGAGAGATCGAATTTTCCGTTCACTTCGAGAATCACACGTTATGCGTGAAATCGAACATAAAAACAGGCCAAACAAGATCATAGCGGCATCAAACATCACATGGGATTTTGGATATATTACCATGCTTAATAATGTGCTGTACACATTTGATGATGGCATATTTATTCGATGAAAAATATTTCTATTGATGTGCACTTATTATGTTGACTCTCCTCAACAAAGCACACTAGTCTGTCTTAAATACAGTTAATATATTACAGCTCAACCGCAATTTGTAATGAAATAAAAACCAGATTACAAAATCACAAGTTAACCCCCCCCCCCCAAAAAAAAGTAGTATTCTGATAACAGGGTTGTGCAATATTTTACAAACATCATCTGCCATATCCAATTAATTCAATGAGATCAATGAGATCGTTTGAATTTTGAATTTGATGGCGGTTCGAATTAATCCACTTTTACAGTGCGTTCGAGCTAAGTTACCGGTACTAGTAATTACAAGCCTGATTTACATTTTTCTTGCGGTGTTTTTCATAAATGTATTAAATATAAGTGCTTTGAAAAATAGCATAATTATATTGCGTGAATCACATTCACAGTGCATCACATAGGGAGTCCGGTGATTATGTTATGATCTCTTGTTGAGATCACGGGAGATGAAACAAAATGAATACACCCAAGAGATATTAAGTTTTGCAAAATGTTTGTTTTGAGCATAACATGTTAGGTCAGGAATTAAACAGATACAAAATTTAAATTTTGTTTTGAAAAGCATGAATTAAAAGGATACATTCAATATTTTATTTTATTTTTAAATGAATTGGGTGCATGAATTAATCTAAACCGCATATTAAGTTTTTGCGGTACAATGGACCTTAAATGTCAATTTGATTGTGTCTACTGTTGTTTTTATTTACCGGTATATAACTATTGACAATCAGATGTAGATAGAATGTAAAAACTTCACTAACTTGGCCAGAAATAAGAGTAAAACTAACAGATTTGTAAATAATTACATGCATACCTGTAAAGTGTCTTCTGGTATTTCTGTGATTTTGTATTCTGTTCCATACCATCTTTCCTGGTGTGTAGTCTTGCCTTGAAATGACTGCGATATAACAGCAATTCTAGGAGAAACATTACATATTCTAGTCTATCTAAGCCATTCTCAATTTACTGACAAGAATAATAATTTTAAATTTTTACTAAATTTTAATTGTCAAAATAAAATAAATCAAATCAAAAAACATGACATGCATCAGTAACTTACCATGAGTTTCAAAAACCAAATCCAATAAATTGGATTTTGTCAGTTTCACTCATAAGTAGAACAATTAAAACACATTCCTTTAAGTAATATACCTTAAAATAGTTAGGATTAATTTCATTCTTGCGGAGAATTGAGAATTGTGATTATAGCCTGTTAATTAGTAAGAATGTTGATAATTCTCACCGACAAATGGTGAAAAATCAAGGCAACAAATATATATTAATTAGTGTTTATTCTCATCATTAAAGGTGAAAGATGAGAATTTAAAATTGTATGGCTATGTATTGCTATTGCTGCCAAATGTACAATAATACTACTTAATTTTGTTGATATGTTTGCTATGTACCTTATTCTATCAGGTACCAATTGATTCATCAACATTTCAATCAGATCAGGTCTGAACTCCTTTATCAGGTACCCACTACTCAGTACTTCTGGAATTGGAAAGTCCTGCAAAAGAGTGCAGAGAAAACAGTAATGTACTCTCAAACAGCAAACATTGCTGTGGATACATATAAATGGAAATAAATGGATTTTGGAGTAGAGGTAAGAACAATATATAACAAATAAGTAGCCAAATAGAAAAGAATTATATTGAATTATGAGAAAAACAAATAACTTCAAAAAAATTATCATCAGGTGAAAATAACAAATTAAGAACATATTGTAAATTCAAAAATGAATTCAAAATGGAACAGTATTTAACACAAATTAAAGACCCCCACTATAAAAAAAGGATGTGTAAATTCAGGATAAGTGACCATGGTCTAACGATAGAGAAGGGTAGGCATGTTAGACCAAAAATATAGTTTCAAGAAAGGGTATGCAAAAAGTGTGATACGGATGCAGTGGAGGATGAATTCCATTTCCTGATTGATTGTCCAAAAATGCAAGATGTAAGCTGTTTGGAAAAATTGCTTATATACATCCATATTTTAATTTGATGAAACCAGATGACAAGTTCATATACATTATGAGCAATGTAGATAAGGAACTTGGGAACTATATTAGAGAATGTGGTGCATATGTATCAATATTTCATATCTGTATTTATTTATTTATTTATTTATTTATTTATTTATTTATTTATTTATTTATTTATTTATTTATTTATTTATTTATTTCTTCTTTTTTTAATTTTTTTTTATTATTAGTTTAGCACTTGACTGTATGTTCTCTTCAAACAGAATGATGTCAATATGTATTATTATTATGGTATTATTATAAAGCAGTAATTACATGTGTGTAGCCTTATTTAATGAACATACATGTACAAACATTTTTTATATAGCACTCATTTTGCCCAACCTCCATAATTTCATCACTTAATTACTTTTCTGTCCTTCTTTACAACTGCATTTCTGAGCACACAAACACAGTGTTTTCCCCACACACAGTGTCCCCCCCGTGTTTCCCACCCACACACAGTCTCCTTCCACAGTGCCCCCCAGTGTTCTTCCCCACACACAGTGCCCCCCACACGCAGTGTTATCCCAACACAGTGCCCCTGCCCAGTGTTCAGCTCTATTGGTAGATACATTAGTAAATGTAGAGGTAGCAAAGCTACAAGGTAGAATGGCGAGCACCATAATTACAATGGTAAAATGAAGTGATGGTGAAAAGTAGGTATTTAAAAACAGTAGTAAAGAAACTATAAAAAACAATTCAATCAAAAATATGCATAAATTAAAAAACAGTTATCTTGGGGGAAAATTGCCTGAAGGAAGAAGGCAAAGACCCCTGGTGGTGACTGTAGGATGGTGGTGGGTTGTGATAAATTCCTGAAGAGTAGCACGATACAAACTAGTGCTAACTACATGTAGATGGCAAAACAACAAACTAATGATGTCATGTAATTAAATAAGCCACGAGAGTATCGATGAGATATAACGTTAGAAAAAACATCAAAAATAATGTTCAATGTACTACAAAGAAAAAAAATGTTTGATGAGTGTGCAATAAATATTTACACAATGGATGTGAAATCCATATTTCAAAAGATTATGGAGAATAACATAGCTTTAGCAAAATATTTGAAGAGCACAATTTTTAAAACCACAAAGTAATTAATTATTTTTTCTTATATTTTATACTTATATTATTTTCCTTTTTAAATTTTATGGTATTTGTATTTCTTTGTATTTATGTTCCTCATTAAAAAAATTATTAATTATTATTATAAATTATTATTAAACATACATTTTTTACTAAAAATTAAACAAATATTCACTAAAATTGCAATAGCCATTTTTAAAAAGAGCATTTTTTATCGAAAATGACAAAAATATTGATTATTGTCAACAGTCTGCCCAAGATACAAACATTTAACAAATTATTCTACAGTAATATAAAATAAAATTCAAAATTTGTTATAGTTTGTCGTTTTAACTATATTCTTTGTGGATCACATTTGTAACAATAATTAGTGCCTGTCTATTTTGAAAGCGTGAAATATAGATGATTATTTTCAGTAAGTGGCAAGCAAATTAATAAAATTGTACTGGATACCATTTGCAACATTTATTTGAAGTTACTCTTCAATGTTACTATGTCCAATGGCAATAGAACTGAAAAATCCAACTACAGCTTATAATAGTAAGCAAATAACACCGAATAAACGGCAACTATGAGTTTAAAATTATTTCTCAGTACTTATTTACAGCTTATAATACATTGGCACTGTGATTTACTGTGATGGATTTACTGATAGACACCACGGATATAACAGTCGCTCATAAGATATTATGAGGTTATTCACAAAATACAATAATAAAATAATAAATACAACTTTATATAGCACCTTGTATCAATTGCAGTGATGCTCAATGACGCTTAGTTGCACAGATAGGCTTGCTGAAACAGGTAAGATTTGACAGTGAGGAATGAGCAAATGACCGGTCACCATAATTCTTGAGATGAGTTCTAGGTACGGCAAGTGTATGTTTCTTACTTGAGCAAAAGGTTCTCTGGTTTTGATTTTTGTGGAGTAGGTCCGAGTAGTAAAAGTAAGTGAGTAGTAAAATTTTGAAGTGTATCCTATAGTGAACTGGCAGCCAATGTAATTTACAAAGAACAGGAGTGATATGATCCAATTTTTTTGTACGTGTATTTACATGTAAGTACGGGCAGCGCAGTTTTGAGTCCTCTGAAGCAGGTGTATCTGTGATTTTGGTAAGCCATAGAGTAAGGCATTGCTGTAATCCAGTTTAGTGGTGAATGAGTTTAAGACAGGTATGCTCAGATAGATGTTGGCGGATGAGTCCTATGCGTCTGATATGCATGTATATGCTCTGGCATGTACTGATGATATGATTACTGAACTGAAGTGAATTATCAAAGATGAAACCAATGTTGTGAGCTGCTTTAACTGGTTTAACGAGTGTTGATCCAATGTTGATACCATGCAAGGGGTTTGGATTAGCAATATCTTTGCCATCATTTAGCTGTAGTTTGTTGTTAACCATCCAAGCCTTGATGTCAAATAGGCAATTTTCAATTTGGAATATGGCAGCTGAAATGTTATCCTTAGTGAAAGAAAGGTAAAGTTAATTGTCATCAGAATATTGGTGAAAATGAAGATTGTGGTGACGAATAATTTGACCAAGTGATGAGATGTAAATTGAGAAAACAGGGGGCCGAGTACTGATCTATGGGGAACTCCATAATGAAGAGTTGTTTCTTTAGATGAATGACCATTAATGACAATTGACTGATGTCTGTTCGTGAGATATGAAGCTAGCCATTGCCAGGCGAGATCACATATGCCCATATCTGCTAGCCGTGCAAGAAGGATGTCACGGTCGATTGTGTCAAAGGCAGCAGACAGGTCTAGGAGGACAAGAATAACATATTGTTCTGCATCAATACACATTGATATGTCATTGTGGACTTTGATGAGTGCTGTCTCGATGCTGTGAAATTTCCTGTATGCAGACTGGAGAGGTTCCAGAAGAGAGTTCCTAGCGAGGTAGTCATTTAGTCGATTGGCGACCTTTCCAGAACTTATGAAAGGAAAGGTAGTTAAGAGATCGGTTGGTAATTATTTGCTGATCAAATGGAATTTA